CATGCTATTCACCATGAAAGATGATGAATTAGATGGCATGAGAGAACTCATGTATGTCTCTTTCTGATTTTCATCTTGTAAAAGCAGTGAATATGCTACATTGATATCAGGTAGTTGATTCATCATAAGGATGGTTCCTCTAGCCTGACCATAACTGTCATTAAGACCCATCAGAAACTGAATAAGTTTCTCATTTTCCAGAAATTTTTCCATTTTCTGTTTTCCTTCATACAGACATACACAAGAACATTTGATGTTGGAATTTAAAGAGTCTAGCTCATCCCAGAGTCTTTTAAGCTTAGTAAAATAACCTGCAATGCTACTAGTACCTTGAACTAACCTGCTTAGCTCCTTTTGCAGGTGAAATAGTTTCGCACCATTGGACTGCCCAAATCGATGCTCCAAGCTAATCCAAAGTTCCCTAGCAGATCTAGAATAGATCACACTATCAGCAATTTCTCTGGAGAGGGAGTTGAGCAACCATGAAGTGACCATATCATTGCATCTACTCCATGGTTGCAGATCTGGTGAACCAGCAGCAGGTGCAGACTGAGCACCTGTGATGAAACCTAACTTGTTATTTGCTGAAAGAGCAATGAGAACAGATCTCTTCCATGCTTGATATCCTTTCCCATCAAAAGTGTTATTGATGAGGTCCATACCAGGAGCATCTGAATGAGTGAGAAAATAAGGGTGATTGGAATCAATCCCTGGATTAATAGTACCATTACCACCCAGATTAGTACTACTATTTTCAGGTGTTGTTCCAGAATTCTCAACAGAGTTAGTCATTGTTGTTGAAGATAGTGGTAGATTGAAGAAGATGAGAAAATAGACTTTATGATTAAGAGAGCTCTGATACCATGAAAGAAACAAGAATTTAGAAATTTTGTGTATTCATTTTCATCTGCAGAATACAATTCATTCCTATATTTATACACAACTAAAGAAAAGAATAGAACCTTCTATTGTAACTACCATTCCAGCTGTACAATCTTAATTGGCTTATCTATAACAAATTTTATTCCCTCTCTATGTATATACATTTCAGCTATATTTATATATAAAATCTTTATTTGTTGGGCCTTTTATCCGAATTAGGCTTCTGGCTAGCCCAGTGCAGAAGTAGCTCTTTAACCTAGATAACATAACCCTTTTATCATCTTCAGACCAAATAAAAGGGTTAGTTTTCTTCGATGAAACCAAAGCCAATCATGAAGACCTTGTTTGTGTCTGTTTTCTTCTTTCCTTTGATGGTGTATCTTTTGCGTCAAATATTTCATTCACTCGTACACCATTTGTAATTCCAACAGAATGGGGTTGAAGATCTTTTGGAGTTTGAATTTCGAATGGGCCTCCCTCTTATCCGAAATCTATCTGTTACCCCCCAAAAATTGAAAACCCTAGGTTTCCTTCTATACAATTGCTTTATTCACTATTGAAGAAAACGGGGGGGATTTTTGAGAAAAGTGGAGAAATTTTAGGGAGAGAAATTTTACCTAAGGCATCAAAAGTAACTAATACCTACAATATATATTTCAAAGAGAAGCAGATGAGGGACTCATTTTGGGTGTTTTTTGGTTTTATATTCTTTCCCAAATATCTTGGCTACTGTTCGTGTTTCGGACTCGTGTGGAAGAAGCCGTTGTTCCTCTGCTCGCTCTGTCCCAATTTCGCTGCACCGTTAAAGGTAATACACATTTTTTATTCAACTATCTTTGCTTTTAATACGTTGTTGGTGTGTGGGATGTTTACATGACGATGTTTGAGTTTAATGTGACTCACTGTTTATCATAAATCAGTCTGTGGTTGGTTCGTTTGCTTCTTGATAAGAGTTGAGGTTCTTCGTTTCCCTTTGTCTACTGTTTCATCTTTTGATCTCGACTGTGATTGGGATATGTGTATAGATGTTGGTGGACTGTTTGTTGGTTGTAGCTATGTTTCTCGTCTTAGTTTTCTTCCCGCTATCATAAATCTATATTGTGAGTGTTTGATGTCGCATCCTTTGTTCTTTCACCTCAAGTTGAAGGAATAAAACAAGACATCAATATTTCGAGTTCTTAGTGTTTTATATTCGTTGTCTTGAATCTGTAGCTGATTATTTCGACCTTGTTTACTCCCTTTTATGCCCTATCTATTCGCAATATAGCTTATACGTGACGAATTAGTCAAGCTTCATATTTGGTTTGAGCTAAAAACATTTTCAAAATATATTAGTGTCTTGTTCTTGTACGTGCTTTAAAGAATGAGTTGTGTGCTTTTCTTCTTTTGTAATGGCCTATGGTGATCGAGTCTCATGTCGGAAAGACTATGGCCTTACAAGTTGAGTTTTAATTCATTTTTGTTTGGTTGTGAATGCGTGCCTCTGTATGTAAAATTTGTGTTGAGGCTTACTGCATATTTTCTGTATCTCATGCTTGTCCTTTTTTTTTTTAATCTTTTATTTTATTTATTTATTTTGAAGTTCTGAAAATGCTAAAAAAAAATAAAAAAAAAATCACATCTCTTATTCATGTCCAAATTCCAGCGAGCAGTAGCATTGTTTAGCTAATTTTGTCTACTGCTTTGTTCAACTTGCTTAAGCTTATTCTATGCATGGGTTTATTATTGCCTTTCCATAGTTTCATATTGCATTTTTTTTTTAAAAAAAAAGAGCTTAATCACTTTAACCTTAATAGTCTTTTTTTTACTGATAATGGTTTTCCTTATCCTTATTCTTGTCTAAATAAATATGCCTAAATCCACTCCATTTAGTTATTGTTAGCCTTAAATGCTTAGCAGTCACCACCATTTGGTGTCTTACCTTATTGTGTGAAGTTGGGTTTAATTTGAGTGAAAAGTTCTTTTAAGTATTGTGTATATTTGTTTGTCGTCCTTGTATAACAATGGTATAATAAACTAAGCATTTGTATCTTTGCCTCATTTCAATTTTATATACATTGGTTGTATTGTATAGATTTAAAGTATCCTCCATCACTAATTCTTATATTGTTTTCTACGCGTGAATCTGCCTTGGGTCCTCACGGACTTCTCTATTCCCCTTTGCATTCCGATTTGGGCCGTAAAGGCCCAAATATGCTCTTCTTATTCAAGTCAGCCTCATTGGGTCAGTAAAACTGGTGTACTGGTTGAAAGCAGTAAGTTAAAGCTGGAAATTGAATTTTCAAGCTCCGAAAAAGTCGAAAACAGGTTGATATACCTATTGTATACACCGATATACAGTCGGAAAATATCATATACAGGGTAAAAACGTGAAAATACAGTTGAAAAATGCGCAAGTACAAAGTGCAAATAAAATACAGGTTTCGGAAGGCCCAAAACGAGTCGAAAGCCGACCCATATACAACGATATACTTTTGCTGTATATACAGGTGTTTGGGAGCGAAAATGGGCCCAAAAAGGTCCAAAAAATGGCCCAGGAGCAGAATTTAATTAAATAGGCCCAAATTCATGTTTTGGGTCATTTTAGTATTAGGACAGGTTCACGAATTTGGGCCAAAGGCCCAATTGATATTTCTTCCCTTTGCTCTTTACCTATTGTATTATTTGACTAACTTTATTTCTTTTATAGTTTAACTTAATTAAATCTCCATAGATAGCCATTTCGCTTTATATTCAAAAGGTATAAATATTTATTTTATACATATTTTATTTACCTAGCTTCCATTTTAATTTTGGCCTTGTCAACACTTTAGGAAAATCCTCATTTAATCCTATCTCCCTTGAGATAATTAAAATGACAATAATAGTAATAGTAATAATAATAAAATATAAATGAAAATAATGATAATAATAAAAAATGAGTTTCTTTTACTTGGTTAAACTTTCGAAAATTAGTCAAAGTCACTTTTAGTCAAATCGCCGGTCAACCGCAAGTTAGCGGGCATTCCGAGGGCCTAACACCTTCTCGGAATGTACATTGAACTTCGAACCCTTTTATTTTCAATTGATTTTATCTGTTTGAGTCTTTTGAAAACCTTAAAAAAAATTCTTGATTTTTTACTAAAAATTAAGTGGCGACTCTGTTATTTTAGAAATTCAATTTTTCTTAAATTATAAGTTTAATCGATTTTTCAAAAATTCAGTCATTTTTCTTTTATATATCTTTTCGAGTAAAACAGTCATAAATCAATTGTATGATATCTTTAAAAAGTTATATAATTATATGAGATATTTAGTACTGTATAATTCTTACAGTTGAATGATATTCTCATATATTTATATCTTTTTTTTTTAGTGTTGGCAATTTTTTTTTAATTTTCAGATTGTTAATTAATTGTAATAATTAAAAAAATCCATTTTTTTATGGAGTTGACACTAGACATTATCACCTCTCCTATTTACTTTTTATATATATAATTTTTAGAGAAGTGAGTTTTTAATCTAATCAATAAATTATATTACATAGGTAGGAAAATTACGTAATTACACAACTTAAGATAACATAATTTATAAAAATCCCTGCTATTTGAATTAATTACAAAATCCCCTTTTTCCCTTCTCTCTTTTAACTCCACTTTTTTCCTTTTCTCTCTTAAATCCAGATATACACAACTCATATACAATATATCCATGAGTCGTGAAAATTTCGAGATTATTATAATTTGATAAACCTTTCGGGATAAAATGTAATTGATGCCCAAATTGTTGAGATTTATGTGCTATATACATTATTTAATGGAGAACTAATTAGTCAAAACAATTTTTTTTTAATAGAAGTTAGGAGTAATGTTTTTTACCGTTCATCATAAAGGGCTTAGACGTTGATGTTAGTTGATACCCACGTCTACATTTTTAGTTGGATCGCGAAAAGACGATCGATACAATACAAAACATCCATGCTATCTGTCGTTAGATCATCTTTGTGTTGAGCATAGGAAATGATCCATAATGAGTCAATCTTGATGAGAGTGCACATTAGCCTGAAATCCTTTAGTCATCAATAAATTACAACAATTACAACAAACGGGAGTTCTTTTTTTTCTAAATTGCGGAGTAAATAAACAGAGATCTATCCCAAGTTCACAGCAAGAATTTAATAAATTCTTGAAAAAAGTAAGTCAAGATGATGATGGAATTAAAATGAGTTTAACCCTTGGTGGCAACTTCCTTTCAAGCCGCTTGCTCTGCTTATGGAATAATGCCAAACTCTTACCCTTGTAGTAGTAAAAGGTAGGCTGAAGGATGATGTTGTTAAGAGAGCATCTTCCAATTTCGAGCAAATGCAACGCAAGTTTATAATCACTTCTACCTCCTGTAAAACCAATTAACTTCACCTCTTTAAGATGTTTGTGGACGAAACGAGTACACAATCGAGCTGAACTTTCACGATGACACTGATTAGCGATACTCTGCAAAACAACCTCCAATTTAGGACCAAATATGAGGACTTAAACCTCTGCACAAGTAGCAGTAACAGGTTACATTACCTCATTTGAGACAAACTTGTATCCTATCTGCCTCAATAGAAAGAAAGAAGAAAAAACGAGTGAGAAACCATATAGTTCAACAACACATAATGCTGGAAAAGGCATAATACATAACAAACACTCAAACTCAAACTCGGCATCAGCTGACAAAGTGAACACCTTAACTTTGTCTCAACTGATAACAATAACTAATAACTCACAACTCATCTCCATTGTGTCCCATGGACACCAGATGGTGATGTAACAAATAAACTTTGGAGGTATCCAGATGATCATTTTGTAAGTTGGAGTGTTTAGTAGAGACGAGTTAAGATGTCTAAATGTGCTAACTCAAAATTGAAGTGTCTATTTATGTATTATGCTGCTGGAAAACCGCCATAAATAATAAAGTGAAGACTCCATGTAATAAAGGAGTACTAATATAGCCCCTTAAAGAAAAGGGCTCAGGACATCATTGCCAGAGGGCGTGTAGAATATAAATGATATGAATTGCGAGCAAAGATGATATACTTACCCGGGCTGTGAATCTAGACAGCAAAGGACATGCCTTGGTAAAAAAAGTGAAGAAGACTAAGCTTTCACCAGCTCCTAACTTAATGTCCAACTCCAACTCCCTTAGATTGTCCAGTCTAGGGAAGTTATCGGGGTAAGTTGATGTGATCGTACTTTTCCCCACAGCCTGGACCAAGAAATTTAATATCTGCGTCAATATCACAAAACTGAAATGCTACTTCAAGGTATATCAAGATGAAAAAAAGGGGGTGATTGTCAAAGTGATTTACAAATTACAACCTGAGGAGGCAATATTAGCTTAAGTTTTCTCAGCTTAGAGGAATAGCTTGTGTGCTCGTCAGCTTTGAAAATAAAAGAATAACAATAACAATCTCCGAGTGTTAGCTCAGATAACTGGGGAACATTCTGAAAAGGCACAAGTATATCAGGTCCAATGTATGTAAAAGACTCTAGATTTGAAGCATTAACTTCTATTCCCTTGACATTGTTACACAATGATATTTCCATCGACTTCAAACTCGGAAATGGACCAGGAACTCTCAAACTCTGTAAACATTTGGAAAATGAAACGCAGACCTGCTCCAGGCATGGACAATTGGTTAGAAAATAACGAATGGTCTCATCCTTCACACCTATATTGACAAGTCTAAGTGATTTCAGATTACTACAAAATCTGGAAAACTTGTCTCCAGAAGACAATGTGTTAATGTCAGGAAAATAATAATAGCGAAATCCAACAAAAAGTTGCCAGCCAGCGGCTAAGTCCAATTCAAATACTTTTACTTCCTTTTGAATGGCAAATTTAACCCAGTGATCAAATGTGAAAATACTACCCCTGAAGCAAAAACCAATGCGTAATTGATCTAAAGTTGAACCCTGGTGCAATTTCAAAACTTGATTCACCAACTTCACAAACTTGTATTGTACATCTGGATCTGTAGTGCTTCTATCCCTATCATAAATCTCAAGACAGCCAGATGTATACTGCCATAAATATCTCCAATTACGAGAGACAAGACAAGTTTTTGCTGCTTCCTTTACAGATAAATATGAAAGAATGGCCACAAGCAACTCGCAGGGCAATTTTTCAATCTTACCCTCCATGGGATCCTACACACATAAAAAGACAACAAGACTCTCAATGAAATTATGCCCAAAAAATAGAAACAGAGAGAAAGGGAAACCAGAATTACTTGTTGAAGCCGAACACGAGAAGTAGAATGTTGTCCATCTCCCATTCTTCTTTTGTTCTCTTTTGTTCCAGTAAATAGAGTTATGGAAACCAAAGACTACAAAAAACAAGCACAAAGTATTCCAATAAACACGCATATGAATAAACAAATGGTAAGAGCAGAGATCTCTCCAAGCATTTTTTTCCAGTGTGCTCAAACAAGAAAAGGGAATTCAGTACAATTTTGTTTTTCTTTGCATTATATAGGAAGGGCATTGCAACTAGTTAAGTCTCCAGAATCATAAAAATTATCCACTTAGGATCCATCCATGTGAAAAATTTATTTCACTGACACCCAAAACTATTGTACAGAGTGAGTCTCATAACAAATAATCCATAACAGCTACCAATAGAAAAAACATATGCATGATAGAAGGTGGAGAGGACTTTGCCCCTAAATTAATCACTAAACAGCAATTCGTTAATAGGGTTGTATCTATCTGGCTAAGCCTGTGGGCCACTCAATTGTTCCACCAGGTATCACCTACCACACGCCAGTAGAGATTTGGGATAGCTTCGTCCCCAAAACTTGGAAACTTGGACAGACTGAAGAAATCACCGAATATTTTAATCAATTTCTCCTAGGGTTAATGGTTTCAATTTTATCTAAAAGTGGAACTGCATTCGTAATATGCAAACTAAATTGAACATATGGTTTAGCTGATGCACAACCAGAAACTCAGGTTAACTTACCCTTAACAGATCGTAATATAATCAGGGGAATTTTCCGGCTGCTGTCTCCTCCTCTTCTCTCAATCTCAACGGCGAGAATGAGCAGATAAATATTACGGTTAAATTACACGGAATGCCCCTGTATAATATTTTATGTTACACTTTCTCGATGGTATTATTTTACGTAGTATGTATAGGACTACACTTGGATTTACGACTGGATGTCACTAGTATTTTATATTCACTACTAATTAGGGATAATTAAAAAAATAAAATTGGACAAGTAATTAAGGACAGAGAAAGTATAGTACAAATATGAGAGAAATAGGTGGATATGTGTTGAAAATATGGCCAAACATTAGGGTTGTTTGATAGTCGATAAGAGTTATACACATTAATATCGTAGAAATTAATTATGAACAAATTTATATATTTTTTCTTCGTTCACTTTTAGTTATTTACTTTTGATTTTCAACTCTCTTTAATTAAAATATAATTATTGATATACGGTGGAAAACAAATAATTAGGGATTAAAACAGGAAATTGTCTTTTCTTTTCTCGATAGGTTAAAATAACAAGTAAAAATAAAAATCTATTTTTAGAACAATGAATAAGTAAAAATGAATAGATAATATTATTTTGTGCATGTATTAGTTAATATATATATATATATATATATATATTAGTTATTCTATCTTATACATAAAAATGATACATAAATTCTCTCGTAACTTATACCTATACTATTTATACAAACATCTGATTAATTACAAATTGTTGGTTTTACATATTAATATTAATAAAACACATCATTTGCGTGGTCATCATAACCGTTAGGGGTCGTTTGGTTACTGTATAAGACACATCTTATTCAGGTATAAAAAGTTATATTAGTTTTACGGTGTTTGGTAGAAGTTTTGTAATAGGCATAAAAGTCAACATAACTTGTACCATGTTTGGTTGGTAAGAATTTAAATGTTGTATAAAAATTATTCATGTATTAATTTATACGGTGTTTGGTTTATTTTTTGTAGTCCGATATAAGTAATACCAACATAACTTATGATGAAATCTATGTATAAAGTTATGCAAGGTAGAAGGTGAAATAAGTTATGTGGGTATCAGTTATACATGTTAAAAAATGATAAATTACATATTTATCCTATTAATTTTATTTTTTTTAATTGGAAACTTTACTGTTTTCTTTCTTTTTATATATAGACCATTTTCACTTCTTTTAATTTTATTTTATTTTTAATTGAAAACTTTACTGTTTTCCTATCAACTTTTTCATTTCTTTTTATATACTTACAGTTTTTATTTATTTATGCAAATATGAATATTTTTTTAATATTAGAAATTTGATTGTATATTTTTTGACGGTACATATGCTAATCAAATATTAGCATTATATATTATTCAATATATTCCACATTTTATTAGCATGTATTATTATTATTTTGTAAATAATATATATTAATAATTTACAACAAGTTAGATACTCAATAGCTAATAATTCATGTATTGTAATCTCTACATAACTAAATAATACTTACATAACTAATATCTGCATAGCTAATACCCGCATAATTAAACCCAACATAATTAAACTCATCATAACTAAACCTGCATAACTAAACCTTGCATAACTAATAAATGCATAACTAATACCTGCATAACTCTAATCAGTAACCAAACAGCCCTTTAGTGTTCAGATCCTTGCCTACTGTTTTAAGTGGCATATTGAAAGGAAGTGAATGAGTTCTTAGGATCGTGCTGGACAAATGATTATGACTTTTTAGTGCCTATTTTAGTTTTTGCTCAAATAATTCAATTGAGGCTCTAGCTCTAAAGAATGGCCTAAGATGGTGTTTAAATCACAGTTTTTATAGAGTTACTCATGTTGAGTCCGACTCCCTCTTGATCATTCAGATGGTTAGAGGTATGATCAACCCCTCTTGGCAGATCAAAGATGATATTAAACAGATTCAATTCATGAGTTCACTTGGTCATTTCTCTTTCATTCACACCTTCAGAGAGGGTAACACTATAGCTGATTTGCTTGCAAATATAACTTAACATTGCAAAATAACTACTTTCATCACTGAGGCTATAAATCTTCCTTCTAAGATTACTTTCACCTTGAAGAATGATGTAGTTGGCAAGCCCAACATTAGAATTCGAGTGAAGAAGGGCAACTTCATATTCGACCCTGGTTAAATTTTGTTTGGTTGCTTCTAGTTTTATGAATTCTAGAACTTTTTGTAAGTTTAAGTGACAAGGAGCAACCCTCCACCTTTTTCTTTCCTTTTATTTTGTTAAGTTAGAGAGTAAGGATGTTCCCTCATTCATTTGTGATTAACGTTCCATAAAACGTTGGGAGCAACTTCTTCATCTGCCATTGATAGCATTATGTTATCCTCATTTTATTTCACTCTTTATTCCTCCATTATACCTTGTTAGCATACCTAATCTTTAGGTCATTTATCTTCACTATTTACTATCCCGTTATCTTTCTATTCATTGTAGACTTCTTCAACTATAAATAGTGATGATCCTTATTTGTTTCAGTAACACAAGAAAATATAGAGTGCATAAAAGTTAGTCAAAAGAGAGTTCTTATTAGTTGAAGGGAGGTCATGTTTTTTTTTGAGCTTTGGAGTCAACTCTTGTCAGAGTTTGTTGAGTTACACTTTGAAACGGTTGTTGTATCTTGAAGGAAACAAGTCAAGAAGGACTACTATTAGACCGGTGAAAAACATTTGTTGCAGTGGGCTTGAATCCCCTTAAAAAAAGCGATATATTTGCGCCTCAGCCAGAACAAATAATTTGTATTTCTTCATTTTATTTTCAATTGTAATTTGTAATCTTGTAATTTTTACTAACACAAATTAAACAATATATTAATTTTATACCTAAATAATTTATTTTATAACTAACTATCAAACATAAATATTTCTTAGGTAAAATTTAATACTGGCATAACTCACTTTCTAACCAATTACTAATGGACAAGAGAGAGATAGTGGAGGTTCACGGGCTTTGGGTACCTAGCACATTCCAGACCGTTCCATATGAACAAATTGCATGTTGGAAACCATGTCAAAAGCATAGGTTACTCTTTTCGTTTTATATTATTTAGCCATTGTTAATTAGATACATTATTAAAAAGGTCCTAATAAAAGGTGTATTTTTCTTTATATTATATAGAGTTAATAATTAAAAATAAATTTGAAATATTTTTTAATTTTATATCTGAATTATCAAATATACGAATTTCCTACCTAAATTATTATCAATTAGTTACTGTAACATATTTCAATTATCAATTGTTACATTTTTCTACCTCATGTGTCACATCCTTCGTATAGAAAAAAGGAAGCAGCCAAAATATTCATAAGGTATTATAGAGATAAAAAATTCTTTGGTCGGGTTTCCTAATGTTCCTCACCAACGATACAATTTTATGCTCACATTAAAAGAAGTTGAAAAATTAGGTATTACTATATCAATTGTTTGTAATAAATTTTAAGTGATAGAAAATAAATTATGATTAAAAAAAATGAAAAAACAAAAATATATTATTGATAAATAATGTTGGTACAATTCTGTCGCAGTTAATGATAAATTCTTGCAATTGTATTTCCATAATTAAATGCCACGTAATATATTATAAACTCAACTGTTATGAAGAGAAACTATATGAATATTCGTTTAACATTCTATCTGATATAGCCCATGCTCATAAATTAAATATGTATCATAATATATTAGCATCTAACAAAGTTGGTGTAGATAGCTAAATTTTATAGACTCTACAAGATGTGTTGTTTTTGGAGGTTACTCCATTTTAAACTCCAACTTATGCCTATATAAATTAAAGGTAATATATTTTCTTAAGGAGGCATCTCAAAAGTTTCATAAATTCATGAAATAAGTTGTTAATTATTTTATATTTTAAATGAGTAAAAATCTATGGCAAAAGATGTTTGAAGTTGCTTTCGAATTTTGGTTGTTCATAGTAATGCATTTTACTCAAAGGTCAATTTTAAGGCAATAAGTGAGGACAGATTTATTAAAAAGGGATTTTATATATTGTATAATCACTTATTAGAATAATAATCGGCATTTTATAATTTTTACAATCGATCAAATTTAACTTTGGGCTTGTTATATAACTGTATAAGTGAAAAAAAAAATCAACGAAAATGGCTGCATGTATACATAATGTATCGAATTGTATAAATAGTTATATAATATATATGTAATACATTAATATTGTATACATAGTGTATAGCTATATATATAACTATGTATGAAAAATGTATACACATCCATATTCTCTATCATACAATATTTATAAATTACAATAGTTCATC